TCTGGCAAGGACCCCCTCCTACAGTCTATCGCTACCTTCTCATGGTTCATCGTCACTGCTTTCTTCTTCTTCTCCGGCGACACCTGACTAAATAAGAGGATGAAGACTAAAGAAGAAGAGAGAAGGAGATCGATGCAGATGATGATGTCTTTCGAGTAGGGTGATAGTGATGACTGTTGCACCGCTGCTCAGTTCTTCATCGTCATCGCCAGACCAAGAGCACTCACAGAGAGAGAGAAAGAGAGAGAGAGACGTGATGGGCACTTTATCGACGGCGAGAATGCACGAACGATGATGGGTCCTTCATTATTGATAAGAATGCACGGCAAGAATGCATGCCAAATCTCCTCCCACACATATGCCGACAACTCCTCCTGCGGGTGCTCCTCTCTCACTTGTTGCAAGCCAACCGCTAATGTTGCTGCTCCAGCACGCATCAAGTCCATGAAGAAGAAGAAGAGGAAGGGAGGCAAGGGTAAGATGGAGAGATAGAAGAGAGAGAAGATGGAAAGTTACACAGAATCGAATTCCATAGCTTTTGAGATGGAATCGAATTCTGAGAAATTTGTCAAAATCAGGTTTCTAAAGAATCATGATTATATCATACCAAACATGTTTTGACATGGATTCCGTTTCCGTTTCTATTTCCATATTTCAGATTCAAACCTACCAAATATAGCCTTAAATTCACCCAAGAATGTTTTTCATTTCTCGCCTTCTACCTCCTTCTATTTTCATCTTAATGAATGGTTGTAGTTTAAATTTTTGAGATTATTGTATATTTAATAATTTTATAAATAAAATTTAAAATTAAATAAAATAATTTTCAATAAATATATTTTTATTCCATTAGTTTTTGTCCAAAACATATTTTTTCCATTAGTATTATATAATGAAAGTTATATAAATAATATATTAAAACTTTAAGTTTGATTATATCTAAATGTTTTCTATAAATAATAAGGATATTGTTGAGTAAATGAAATCAACAATTTTCTCTTATTTTTATTTTCTCTTGATTAGCCAAATATAAGGAAAGAAAATCACATCTATTTACTTTTCTTTTCACTCAGTTTTCTCATATTATCCAAGCATTGCATAGGTAATGAGATCCTTTATTATTCACACTAATTTTAATTGGTTTATTTCAATTTCAAACTCTAATTATCCTTAAAATAAAAACACACTTTTAGTAAAATATACAAATTAAAGTGTTTCTTTTGTTGTGTAAAATCAAAATCTATTTGGTATAATTCACTTACAATGTCCAAACTTCATCTTGAAAACTTTTTTTCTAGGTTAAATTTCTTTTTACAAGAATTTTAAAAGCCACTTCTTTGACATATTTGTAAAATTAGACGGAATTGGTAAGTCAAACCAATGAAATAGCAATCTGACTGTTTGTCTGATCTGATCTTGCACTTTTTGTGTGCACTAATTAATCTGAGTTAACTTGCCCAACCCAAATTAACTGGCAAGTTATATTTTTTTTAATTCCTGAACTCTAAAACAACTAGTGTTGGTGTTCTAAAAATTAAAGAAAAGGAAAAAAAATAAAAGTCAGAACGACAATCAGATTTAGAAGCACAAGCCTTCTCGCCCTTTACTTCAGACACTACTAGAAAAATGTCGTCCCTCGCTAAATGCTATTTTTTGTAGCTAAATTGTATTTTAGTTAAGAATTTTGTCCCTCATTAAATTCGTAGCTAAAAAAGGGCTTGCTAAATTTAGCGAGAAATTGTATTTCTCTCGCTAATTAGTGAGGGATTTAGCAAGAGATTTAATCCCTCGTTAAAATTAGCTAGGGACTGAATCCCTCGCTAAATATGCTTATATTTAAAAATAATTATGCCACATCACCCGCCATGTGTGATGTCAACTTGTGATATGTCATCAACAATCTCATATTTTGTCAATCATCATGTCATTTACCATCTCGTGCTTTATCACCCATTTACAAGTATGACAACTCATGACATATCATTGTCCACCTTACGCCATGTCACTTGCTCCTTACCATATCATATATTCATCATGTTTATGCCAAAGCTAAGGTTTGAACCCTTGATTTCATACCTTCCAAGCTTTATGTTCTTTTTCTTTGCCAGTTGAATTGAAAGGCACCGGCAATCATTATATGAGAAATTAAATATGTATATATATATATATATATATTATTTAACTACATAAATATATCAAATAATATATTATAAAAATAAACACATATACATATTAAATTTTATTTTCAATTATTAATATGTTAAAAATATTTATATTTTATTTAAATTATTCTTTATATTATATTTTTAATAAAATATTATTTTATTAATGAAAATTAACTTAAAATAAAGAAAATATTAAATAATTTTATTATGAATATTTTAGTTAATTTTTAAATGAAAATAATTAAATGTATAATTAAAAGTCATTTTCAAAAGTTAATTTTTTTTGTAGTAATTAGCTAGGGATAGAATCCCTTGCTAAGTCCCTCGCTAATTATCTTATTTTAGAGAGGGATTGGTAGTCCCTTGCTATTTTTCTTACTAATTCTCTTATTTTAAAGAGGGATTAATAATTTCTCGCTATTTTTCTCATTAATTCTCTTATTTTAAAAAAAGATTGATAGTTCCTCACTATTTTCCTCATTAATTTTCTTATTTTAGAGAAGAATTAATAATCCCTTATTAATTTTCTCACTAATTTTAAGTTAAATAATGAAATCAACATCTATTGCTAATTTTCTCACTAACTTAGTATTTTAGAAAAAAATAAACGATGTCTCACTAAATTTTTTTATTAATTTATATTTTTTTAGTAGCGCGAACAAATTCACACTTGACTTCACATTCAGAACTTCACTTCACTCTCCTCCATTCTCCCTCGCCTTCTTGCCTTCAGACGACTAGCCAGCCCTCGAAACAACTTCACGGCGTTCGACGTCTGAAAGGAAAGTTGGGTGTTGCGGGCGTGAAAAAATGAAAGATGGAAGAGGGAAAATAGCATCTGAGAGGAGGAAGAGAGAATTATATTAAAAAAATGAAGAGTGAGGAAGGGAGGAGTGAACGAGGAAGAAAGAGACAAGGCAAGATAGTGATTGACATGAAAGATAAAAAGAAAGGGCGGGAGAGTGGTGAGTTATGAGGTGTGATGGAAAATCAGTGTTGAAAAATCGTGCTTGCAGATTTTGAAAATGACAAAAATAATTAAAAAAACTAGAGAAGTATGTGAAAAAAATTAAAATTTGAGATGAATTAATATTTTTTATTTAAATTATATTATTTTATTAATTTTTAATTGAATTCCGAACCTTTTATTTTGATTAATTTAATAATCGATTTAATTTTTAATATTTTCCTTCTTTGTATGGATTTGGTGCTTTTAAAAAGGTTACTTACAAAAATATTAATGACAATTAAAATTTTTTAAGAATATTAATAATAATTATTGACATTAAATTATTAAAATATTAATAATAAACCATGGTCCTTATTTACAATAAATTACCTTTTATTAATTAGCTTGATATTTATAATAAACTTTAGTAAATTCTCAATTAATGCTACATAGATTTTCAACTATTTTTTGTTGATTTCCTAAATGATAATAAAAAATTACAAGTGATTGACTCGCGACTCACAATTGATTTTCATAGATTCTCAATTAATGTTATAAATAATTTTAAGTATATTTAGCAGATTTTTTAAGTGATTTATCTATATATTGAAAGCAAAAAATCATAAATGATTAGCTTGCAATTTACAACTGATTTTCATAAATTCTCAACTAACATTATAAATAATCCTTGATATATTTATTTGATTTTTCAAATAGTTTATATGTATATTGACCACAAAAAAATTAAGATTGATCTCAACTAACTTTCATAAATTTTCAATTGATGCTACAAACAGTCCCAAGTATAGTTAGTAGATTTCTCAATTGAGTATTCATATTTTTTTAATTATAAGTATAGACCATGGTCTTATATTAAAATTTTAATAATTTAGAGTTGATATGTAATTATCATTAATATTTTTACAAGATCTATAATTGTCATTTCTCCAAAAGGAAAAAGGAAAAAGAAAAAAAAAGAATATACACATTCATTGATATAATATTGACAAAAATGTGAGAGAAATTAAAAAGATTAAATAATAATTTAATTTTTTTGATTGTTTTTTTTAATAAAAGGCCACAGAGAAATTCTCATAATAGAGCGACGAACTAGATCATGTCATAATACAAAAAATCTTAATATCTAAATTGACATTGAAAGTTTGGTGCACAATGTGCTCAATTGTTGGCTTTTTTATACACATGATTTAAAATGATCATTAGTTTCTCAGAACGAGTTTTTTTAATTTTTTTTTAAGATTTAAGCAAGTGGATGGTTATAATTAGAAAAATCGTGCCCAACAAGTGTGAGAGCTTTCTGATTATGTTTTACATGGAAGAGAATAAGAAGTAAAATTATAAAAATGATGAATAATGGAGAAAAGGGCAAGAAGTAGCGGCGGAGCAACATACAAGCGCTAAGCACATGTCCCTCACTTGTAAAAATTATATCTAATGGGTATAGAATTTTAAATTGAAAGAATTACATTCAAAAATTTTTTTAAAAAAAATATTCATATATAAAAAATAATACGAAATTATTTATTATTAAAATAGTAATAAAAATTTGTTTTATCTCAAATAGTAATTTATTGTTGGTTTTTATTTAAAAATAATTTTTTTAAAAGATCCTCAGATATTATTATTTTTTTTAAATTTTGCACCCCCTTCCTGTAACACCCTCAAAAATACAAATCGATTTTTCGCAAATTATTAAAAATATTATCATGGTAGAAAATTTTCTTACCATGATACATCCAAGACAATATACCACAGGTCTTAAAATATCTCAAAAAGCAATTAGAACCATGAGGGACAGACAGGATCCTCATGTCATGATATTCAAATCAAATCATAAATCAAGAGGGACAGACATAATCCTCTTGGTCATATAAATACTTTTAATAAAAAGGATTAGAGTTTACATGCTTCACAAAAAGATATGTCCTAAGTTGGCACAAGATACATTGTATAATCTAAAATAAGAGGCAACGTAAAAGATGGTGTCTCATACACCATAGTTACACCTCTGGTGCTTTCTCGGCCGGACTCGCTCCTGTAAAAATATTAACCACGGGGAATGAGACTTAAAAGTCCCAGTAACCAAAAATTAATATGTAATGATGCATGCGGATGTAACTAATCATGCGATTGCTAAGTGGGCACACAAAACATTTAACCGAACAATATTTTCAAACAAACCGAACAAGTATTTAATTGCATGACTGCACCTTATATCCTCCTTTCACCATGCTCGGACGCCAAATCACCCGGCCAAAGGTGAGTTGGACCAAGCGACACGCCACTCATTGGATCCAATGAGGGCTTACCACGTGGTAATAATTAACCGAACAGAAATTTCCATTAACACCATACATTAAAATACCCTGACAAGTCATGCATCATTCAAATATCCAAACAGGAATATATCCGAACAATAATATCTCATCATGATAAACAAAAATAAATTTTTAACCCACTTGGCAATAATTTCAAACAAGTATATACAGTATTTATTTTCAATAATTCATAATTTTTTCAAACAACAAAACAACACATAACCATTCACAAACACACTCATCACAACACATTAATAATGGTTACCTTGTGTCTTGAATAACAAGTTCCCCTTCACAACTCTTCTTTCACCACTATCTTTGTCAACACAATCTACATAGTTATTTCATAATACTATGTATTAATTTTACATTAAAATACATAACTCTAATTTAAAGAGTTAGAAAGTCTTAGATTTATAATCCATATTAATACTAATTTAAGATTTATGCCTCATTTAACTTCTCAAATTCTTTTCTAAAATTCTCGTACCCTAATAAACTATTTTTAAGCCTCAAATTACTTCTAGTATCACAATTTCATCCTTCTATATTCTAAAAATTCGCCCAAAAATAAATTAAAAATTTTAGAATTATCCTGAAGCCTCAAATCACATTTCTATAATCTCGAAAATACCTATTCATACTTAAATAAATATTTAATAATCAGAGGTTCATCCCTACATCTCAGATTCCACATAAATTCGACCATATAGATCTAGATTTTAACTCAAAAATTCTTAAACATGAGTTTCAACCTCAAGAAAATATTCTATAATATTTATTATATCCCTAAGAGTTTTAACCTATATTTTTATTCCATCATATCATCAGATTAACTATTCTATAGAAAAATCCTAATCAGAATATTTACTCTATCCTACAAAATAATCATATCACTAGAAAGCTAATATCATTTAGAAAATAACTATAAAATTAATTTTGTAATTAAATAAATTTTTAAATGCTAATCTAAACAGGAAAGCTAGAACATACTTGAAGAAAAAGAAAATAATCCCCCTTGCGAGAAAAACGCCGAGCAACGTGAGAGGAAGAGAGAAAAATAATATAAAAATGGAATTGTGGTCCCAAAATTATATTAAAAAAAAACTATAGGTTCGAATTTAATTATTCAAACCTTTGGGCCAAAAGTTACAATTTCCTCTAAATTGCATCTTAGCCTCTCATGCTTCCTAATGCACATACCCCCTCCTTTTTATACATGAAGGCACCTCTTCTCTTCCCTCATCTAACCAATGTGGGACTTAGAAACAATAACCTTCCACCCCCCTTTTTTTTGTTCCTTCTACCTTCTCTTTTTTTTAACACACAATAAAAAATTATTTATGTATTATATCTTAACTAAATATTGCTTATGTGATTTTAAATTTAAATTTTTAAATTTATAATTAAATACCTAACCATAATATCATTTCTAAATAACCTCAAATAATATAAATTCCTATTATTATCATTTTTTTCCTCAAAACCTAAATTCTATAATTTTTTTATTATTTAAAAATCAGGATGTTACACTTCCCTTCATATTTTGCACTTTATCTTTTAAATATTTTGAACATTAAATTCATTTGATTTTTTCTTTAGACATAGAATCCAAATTAATTTTTCACCTTCCTAACTTAAAGTCCAATAATATAATAAATATATATATAATCAATTTTTTAATTATTAAATTATTTTTAAAATTATTAACTTTTTAAAAAGAAAAATTGCCCCCTAATTCAAGTGCTTGCTCGGGGAGTGAGGCCACGCTAGACCGATAGGGCCAACAAATTTTTCAGTCCTTTATTGTGTTTCACGCCAACTAACTCGTTCTTCAGTGCTGACTTTCAGCTAGAACCTAATTTTTTAATACTGTTGGATATTAAATTTAAAAAAGAAAAGACAAAATAAAGAAAGCGATGGAAACATGATTCCCCTGTTCATAAATGACACGAGGACTTTGTTATCTTGTCACAACAACTGTACTGTTTTCAACCTGATCACTTCACTTCTGAAATTAAGAAGCTGAGAGTGGCCACATGGAGACACAGTCGTCGTCAACGCCTCTGCTTAATGGCACAGAGGAGGCGATGATTGCCGACGACGGCGACTATGCTCCGATCAGAAACTTGGAGGCGACAAAGAAGGTGATATGGATTGAAAGTGTAAGAGTGTGGAAGATTGCTGTGCCCATTGCTTTTAACTTGCTCTGCAACTTCAGTATCATCCCCATCACCTCGATGTTCGTCGGCCATCTCGGTAATCTCGAGCTCTCCGCCGTCGCCATCTCCCTATCTGTCATCGGAACATTCACCTTTAGTTTAATGGTTGGTTTCATCTCCCTTATTACTTCGTTCTCAACATGGCTTGTTTTCGGGTGTTCATGTAGGCCGTAGGTGGGTAAGCCCGGTTAGTCCAGTTTTACCCGACATGTCGGGTTGGGTACTGGATAACGGTTAACACCCACCCGGCCTAACTCGAAGATATTAGATATATACACTTTTTGTCTTTTGGTTTAATTTAATTTTGTAAAAATTATTTATTTTATAATATTTTTATTTAAAATTTATTATTATTATATTTTTTATGATTATTGAAGATATTTTCTATTATTTTAAATTTTTTTTAATTTCTTTAAAATTTTTAATTGATTTTTCTAACTTTAAAAATTTATATTATCTAAAAATAATAGATAATTTTTTAGCATATAAAATTTTAAAATTATTAACTTTAATTCTAGGATTAATTTTCTAAGAAATATATTTTAAATAATTTTAATTATATTTTTCTTAATAAAAATAATTTTTATATTTTTTAAATATTTTTAAAACATTTTTTTGGGTTGGGCCAAACTTGAACTAGAATCATCGAGCATCCAATGCCCAAATCGGGCTAGCCCAAACGTCTGGTTGGGAGATGAAGCCTGGCCCAACCCTATCCATATATGTACAGCTCCAAATTGTTTCAAGATTGGATTACATCCCATTGAGCTGCACTAAACCTGATGTATTGTACACAAAATTTGTAGTTGGGCATGGGGAGTGCCTTGGAGACACTATGTGGGCAAGCATTCGGAGCTGGGCAAGTGCATATGCTTGGTGTTTACATGCAACGCTCATGCATAATACTGTTCGTCGCTTGCTTCATCCTCTTGCCAGTTTTCATCTTTGCTACACCAATTCTAAAGCTTCTAGGCCAAGAAGATGAAATCGCCGATCTTGCCGGCGTGTTCTCAATCAAAACAATCCCTCGGCTTTTCTCTCTCGCCTTCATTTTTCCCACTCAAAAGTTTCTCCAAGCTCAGAGCAAGGTCAATGTGCTGACCTTGATTGGGTTCATGGCTGTGGTCACTCATGTTTTTTTGCTATGGCTCTTCATTTATGTGCTCCATTGGGGCACCACTGGGGCTGCAGTGGCTTGTGATATGTCTTTTTGGCTGATTGCTTTGTCTCAGATTGTTTATGTTGTTGGATGGTGTAAGGAAGGATGGCAGGGATTGTCGATGTTGGCTTTTAAAGATATTTGGGCTTTTACGAGGTTGTCTCTATCATCCGGTATCATGATTTGCTTTGAGATTTGGTATTTGATGAGCCTCGTTCTTCTTACAGGACACCTTCATGATGCAGTCATTGCTGTTGATTCCCTTTCTATTTGGTAAGATTCATAAGCAATTCTCTGAGAAAATTTTGCTGTTTATTGACCTTAATTAAAAATATATTCAAGAAATGATTTAATGTTGCCTTTGTATATAAGGTGATTTAGATGAGAAATTCTTACATAGGGCTTGTACATCATGTTATTTATATTCCATTCAATAAAATCGCATAAGCAGTTCAATAACAAAAATAAAAATCTTATATATATGTCATTATTTTTAAGGGATAACGGAAATTATTCTGAAATTATTGGCTTGGTAATGTTTAGGATCCTAAACTTATTTTTGGTACAACTTTTCACTTCAACTTTTAATAAGGTGTAATGTCGCCCTGACTATTAATAAATTAAAAGTTAATTTTGATAGTTAGATGATTAAAAAAATTACAAAAAAACCCTCAAAAATTATAAAAAAATGACTGACAAAATTATTTAAAAGAATAAACAAAATTTTTCTCGATCATTTTATGTAATTTTTGAGATTTTTTTTATGTAATTTTCTTGTCAACTAACAATCAAATTTATTTTTTTTATTAATGACAGGGGTAATATTACACCATTTTCCATTTTAAAATGTTAAACGGGAACACTGTGCCAATAATGAGTTTAGAATGCAAGAAGCTCTAAGACCTATAGTTTAAGTTTAAGAGCCAATTTTCATTTAACTCTCTTTTTATTGACTTTATTTTTGAAATAAAATGTTTCTTTAATTTCTTGTCTTCACTCTTATCTATCTTATCAATAACAGAATCTATTTATATTTACAACCATCTAACATTGCATGCTTTTGTTGAATAGAACATAGATGATGTATTGCATCAGGTCCATATAGGCATTTCTCAATTAATTAGATTTAAATTTGAACCAAATCTATATTTATTATAATTATTTTGTAATTTTAAATATCTTATGCATTTTAGTTATTTGAAATGGTTGTCACTATAAACCTCTCATTCTCTCCCAATTTCCATTTCCCAACTCCCTTTTTCATTATCTTTGAATTTGAATTTTTTATACAAGCAAAGGTTTTTAAATAAATGAATTTTAAGTAAAAGAGTTTAATTACATGCAAGATTTTAAATTTAAAATCCATATCCAACCAATCCAAATATAACGTTTATATAATATTTGGATTAGTAAGAATTTGGATTTGGATTCAATTTTGTTCCAAAGCTAAGCAAGTTTTTTATTACAATTCCTTTAAAATTTCAATTACTTAATAATCTGGACTAATTATTTTAAGAATTAAATGATAATTTAGATTTTAAATTATAAGATTAGGGTGATTTGAATTTTAAATTTATATTTAATTTATTTTAAATTTTAAATAATTAAAATTAAGACAATTTTACCTCCACCGGTAGTTTCAAATTAAGGCCAACAATTTAAACAAAATGAGGACCACATTTTCTCTTTCCACTCCATTTACATTTTACTCTACCACTATTTTCTTTCACCCCCACTTGTATTTTACCATGCTTTGGTATCTTTTCCTCGATCTTCTCTTTCAATCATTTCTTTTCCTCCTCCTCCTCCTTCCCGCCTTCCTATTCCCCATCGCTTGACTGCAATATATATTGCCCAGCACAACGAAAATAAGCTCCTCAAAATCCATGATCAAGACATGTAAACAATAGTCTAGACTTTTCATTCACCATAAAAACAAAAATGACCAGGAAAGGAGACTCAGAGATAGAGCTGCTGTCGGATCAATGAAGCTTTTCCAACAGGCTGTGCTTCTTCTCTACTCCCTTCTCTCTTCTTTCTTCTCCTCCACCTTATTCTCGCACCCTTAAGAAACCTTCACATTCTCGAACTCACGGTGCCGATCGCCTCCTCCTGAGGCTTCTCCTCTGATGAAAGTGCACGTGTGGTCTCTAGAGGTCGTACTCAGCTGGTCTTAGATCTTTAAATGTCGCATGCGACTTGGGTCTTTGGAGTAGCCATCTGGTTCTTCAAAGGTCTCTTCAGAGGAATAACGAGAAGAAAGAGGGTGGGAAAAACCGTCTAAGCCTCTCCGCACTCGAAGGTTTGAGTAGTACGCTTTGGAGGTCGCCACACTCGAACGAGGAAAAAGGTCGGCTTCGGAGTTCGGCGTAGTCGTCTTGGAAGGACTGAGCCTCGCCGCACTCTGGTTCGTGTAGATAGGAATATCAGGCCAGAGATTGGGAGGAGGAGTAGTAGCGTGCACGGCTGAAGTCATATCTGCAATCGGCCGACCACCGCGTCGCAGTACTTGACCTTGCAGCTTCAGGCATCCACCCGGGAAGAGCATGGAAACGACACGAGAACAGTGAGAGAAAACGGTCGCAAAGTAAATGGCGTGGAAGGTGAAAATGTGGACCTCACTTACCTCACTTTATTTAAAATAACCGCAAGCAATTCAAAATTAATGATGAGGTGAGATTTTCTCAATTTTAATTATTTAAGATTTAAAATATATTAACTATAAATTTAAAATTTAAATCGCCCTTGTTTTTATAAATTGGGGTTTAAATTGTTATTTAATCTTTATTTTAAAATCTTAGCCATTCTCTTTCAATACTACCAAATATGTGGACAAGTCACACAAATAACTCATTCTTATTAGTATGAATTTTTTATTCTGTCCAAACAAACTATTTTAAATGTATAAATTTAAAATTTAAAATTTAAATTCAAATACATGTATCCACACACACGTGAATAATCCATTTACCGATCACTTTGTTTCTGACAAAACAAACATTTCAGTATGTATTACAATGGCTGGGAGATCATGGTATTTCTTGGAGTAAATGCAGCAATCGGGTATGCAACCACGTCATAATAATATTTAGTGGTTAATTAATTACTTGTAATTTTCACTGTTTTACTGTATATGTTGTGAAAAATGGACATGCGTGGAACACTACTTTATATATATATATATATATATGATGATGCTTGAAAGTTTTCCTTTAGAGGTATGCATATTATATATATCTGATTTAAATCGTTGAAATTAGAATTGTTCATTGTTTTAAACAAATTATTACCCGTATATACTAATTAAAAAGTGAAAATTTTCATAGTCTAAATCACAATGTGTACCTTACATATTTTTTAAAAGGGAAAATATCTTTTAAAGACATGCCCTCTAGTTTTTTAATAGCAAAAAAGAAACCTATAATTATGAAAGGAAAACATAATCTTTGATCCTTGTAGTTATTTTTGTGTTTTTAGTTTCTATAATTTTAAAAAGATTGAGTAATCTTTGTTTTTTTTTATGTTTCCATAGTTTCTATTTTTTTTTTCAATAGTTTTAGTTTTTATAAAGGTTAAAAACACTGAAAAAACTATATAGACTGAAAACAAAATTCGATAAGACTATAAGTATTAAATATTATGTTTTCCCATTATGAAATATCACTATGGACCCCCTAAGATCTAACTGAAAATAAGATTTAAGAGAGACAACCTGATTACCCCTGTTAAAATGAGAAACATAGCTAAATGAATATCTACTTGCTACTAACGATGGTTACTTGTCAATATATATCAAAATAAATTTTTGTTTATTCAAGACTAATACTTGTACATTTATTATATGTCCTCTCAATTTTTCTAAGTTGTTAATGGACAAATGGATGCTTATCATATGGTTATTTGTTAAAACTAGAATATTTACTTGTTTATCTAGGACCAATTCTCATACAATTAAACACGTTTAGTCAGTTTTTTTACATTGTTCATTAACAAATGAATGCTTACACACATGGTTACTTGTTAATACCGAACTAATTACTTGTCAATACTCGTTCCTTCTTAATCTATGTACTTCAATTTCAGTGTTAGAGTCTCAAATGAACTTGGAATGGGGCATCCAAGGACTGCCAAATACTCAGTGTACGTCACGGTGACTGAGTCTCTTTTGCTTGGAATTCTGTTCATGGCTGTTGTACTAATTGCTAGAAAGTACATAGCTTTGCCTTTCACCACCAGTGCGACTCTACAAGAAGCTGTTGCCAGCCTTGCATACTTGCTTGCTATAACTATGCTTCTTAACAGTGTTCAACAATCGATTTCAGGTATCATCTATCAATCATCATCACCTCATCAATGCATGTAGTTTCCATGGAAAATTGGTCATAAGGACTAAAAGGCATGTATATTCGGGCATAAGTTCTCGAGAGATAATATCCTTTCTTTTCTTGTACTCATCTCTAGAATATAGATTCTTAAAAATTCATGGATAACTCCAACATTTTAGTGCAAAAAAAAAAGGAATGGTATTTTATTATTTTATCTGAAAATATATATTATCACTCCAGGACCATGTGGTCCCCTATAGGTTTTATTCCTAAATTTGGGACTTAATTATGCCCAAATATTTGGAACTTTTGGTCCTTGTGGCTAATTTGTTCTAGTTCCCATGCTTGCTAGCCTTGCATATATATATACTTGCTTTCTCTACACTTACGTCTTAAAAGATATTTGAATAACAGCTACATTTCAAAAAGTATTTTGCTGAAAGAGAACTAACGGCAAATATCAATTTGAATAACTGCAAACATATAAATCTCAATTACTAATCAGTCATTTAAATCTTGCATATTACTTTTATTATTTTATAACTAAGAAAATTTGCAACTATCTAAATTCATATTTTATCATATATTTTTAATAAAAATTTTTAAAACCTAACTATCATTAAACTTTAGAATCGGTATTACCATTACAGGGGTGGCTGTGGGAGGAGGATGGCAAGCATTGGTAGCCTACATCAATGTGGGCTGTTATTACATTTTCGGCCTTCCATTGGGTATCGTTCTTGGTTACGTTGCAGATTTGGGAGTTAAGGTAGCCCCTTTTGTTTCTTTTTAATTGAATTTTTTAAGCCGCGGGGGAAAAAAAGGATAATCTTGAAGTTGTTCGTATGATTTTACCAGAGTTATGTATACATAAGGCCGAAATGAGCTACATATATAAATGCTTTCAACCCCATTACCACAAAATTCAAGCTTTCTTATTGTTGAAGCAACTAAAACGTTGTCCAACAAATGCAGCCCAACCCAAGATTGTGGAAAATAATTTATTTATATGTAATGTTTACTTATTTCAGAGTCTTTTTTTCTATTAATATCCATATCTTATATATACTTGTCCTCATCTTAGATGACCTTACCCTATATATATATATATATATATAAATGAAATATGATATTCAGCATATCCTTTTAGCTTTCGTTTATTTATTTATTTTTATTTTCAGCTTTGATATGGTATCATAGCCTTTGACATTTTGTCAGCCATAGCTGCACTATCACAGCCCAACACTTAATTAACTCTTCCAGTTCTACGTACTTATCTTTCTATTTCAATATCATCTAAATCTTTTTCATTTTATTTCTGCTAACCTTAACAATGATATTAGCGGTGCATTCGAGTCCCTTCTTAAATATTATTACCTTTAGTTGGAAGAGATCGGATGACAATTATATATATATGAGCTCTAGCTAGTTCACGAATTGTACTGAACAAAATTAGATTTTGTTTATGGTCAGGGACTTTGGGGTGGCATGTTAGGTGGCATTGCTTTGCAGACCTTGATGCTCTTATTTCTGCTCTACAAAATTAATTGGAACAGAGAGGTATAGAAGTGCTTCTCATAACTTATTTTTATACTACTATCTAGTACGATTATTGTATACGGTAAGTTAAATTTGAGTATTGTTAAATTTAATTTAAATTAACTACTCAAATGTATGTTTTACTATTCCAATTCCTATTCAATTTTTTTATACCACTATCTACTTTCAGGTTGAACAAGCGACGGAGCGCATAAGATCCTGGGGAGGGCAAGACATGAAAAATGATGGAGCAGAGAAGATTGAAGAGCATATTTAAACCATGCATGATGATAGTATCTTGAAACAATTCGCTATATATTTATACATGGACTCCTTCCCTCCCCGCTTTCTAATCAAGTTTCGAATTCCAATTTCTATTCTAATCAAATTTCGCTGTAATCAAATTTATTTTATTATATTCTTGAATTTTCATATCAAAATCATTTATATATGTATGTATGTATGTTGATGATTTGGTAATATGGGATAGTGTTGCTAAAAGAAGGGCTCCATATAATGCCCTCTACATAGCAGTTATCTGAATAATCGTTATATATAGGAGACGAGATTCGCTGTAATAGACTATACAACAGTTACCTAAGAAAACTACTATAGCAGTTTTAACAAAAAAACTGTTAAATAATCTATTTTTTAAATTTTTTTTTCCAAAAGTCTATATAATGTTGTTTAGAACTAACCACTATACAGCCGCAAAGACCATTATACAGTCTTATTATTTTATAATTTTTTAAACCTATGAACTATTTAGCGGTTATTTTATAACTAAAAGGTTTTTTTAAATGGAACTATTTAGCAGTTATCAGGCAACTTTATGACTCATAAACTTCAAAAGAGTCTCCTGCTACCACAAAAGCTCTCCATTCACCATGAAACTATACTAGCACTCTCAAAAGCCTATTTCTTGTGTTACCCAATTGTTTTCCACCTCCGTTGTTGCCTCCTCTTACCATGGTGGTTTGGTTTCTTTTCATCAAGTTTTGGTGGTTTGGAGTCCATGGGGTTTGTGTGTTTTTCTTCTTTCATCTTTTTTGAGTTTTGTCCATGAGGATTGTGATTCTGTAACCTCCTCTCATTTATTCACTTTATATAAGAGAAGACTATGGTGTTACCACTACCTCTTATCATTTTTCATAAAAAATTTCATTTTCAAAAGCTTCGGCCGAAGACTTATGTTATAGACTAATCAGTTTACAACACAATCAGAGAAAAACACAGTGAAAAATAAATCATGTACTCCTCAAATACATGGTGGACATAACCCACTAGCATTCCAAGCTCAAATGCATGCATTTCAGCACACAAATAAACTGAAGTTTTGGTCTGTGCGCCGCAGTGGACGGTCAATGCACCATGGCATGTGGCATAGAGCCACACACTCATCCTGTCAATGTCGTGTGCCGCAGCATGTGTCTCCATAAGCCGTGGCGTGCCTGTCTGTTTTTTTGCTGTCATTTTGACAACGAAAATGATAAACTTCTAGCATGCACCATTTTCACATACGACGTCTAATTTGAGTGATTCAAGTGCCTACACGAAGCTTAGCTTATATACCAACTAATGAGATAGGTTTGGACACGATCTAATGGTCTGATCAAAATTTGAACACCCGGGGTGCAAAAAGTCACCTTTTCTAAAAATTTTGTACACCCAAGCGCTCAAATCGATCATTTTCTCTCATTATACCACACTAGACCTTAAACTAAGTTTAAAAGGATCTAATACTCTTGATTGACCACAATTAATCACAATTATACACATATATCAAGATTTAACCCTTCTACGATCAATTTTCACAATTTACTAATTTAACATATTATGCCATTCCTCGGCATAACTTAGCCCACTTGGTTATTTCTCAACTCATACATATGAAATTATATTTACAATACAATCTTAGCCCCCAAATTACTCATTTCATCATAATTTATCCCTTGGCTTAAGATTCACCAACACAAACAAACATTTCAACTCAAACATATTCAAATCAAAGGCCCTTTATCTCAAACAACACATATACACATAATTTGGGCTTGATTTCACAAAAGCTCAATTCAATACATGCATGCAACCCTATGACAACTCATATACACTTACATATACAATCTTTTCGTTCAGTTCATTACACAACCACAAAGTACATGGCTTCTCAATTTAAGTCGGTCCAGACTCTCTTCCCTTGGCCTGATCACTTCCCGATCCTGTAAACATGTAACCACGGGGATGAGATAAAAATCTCAGTAATGGAATAACTTACTCCTATTGACTATCACATGAAACAATATGAAAGTAAACATAGCATACCATTAACACCTTATAAAGTAGTATTTACATCACATATCACATTTCATTTTCCACTTTTCATCAATTCCAAAGGATTCCATATTATCTCAAGATATTTCATGATATCACATAAAATACTAGCATAATCTCTACCAACCAAACCTCCAAATTACCCCAACATGAAACCATAGGCTCATCTCAGACCAATGTATAATCTCATTAGTCTTGAGCTCACCTACAATGGTAGAATCACCTGGCCAAAGATGTTCTAACACATAATACGAATTATGATTTTCTCCCAATACATACAATGAGGCGTCATTGACTCCAACCCATATCACAAAGATACTAAGGAGTTTCTCATCTCTAACACAGTACCTTAATAGGCACTTAGGAGATCTTCTCTAACATAGAGCCTTTCAAGGCACTAAGGAGAATTGTTTCCAACACCGCACCCTAATAGGGTACTAAGGAAATCTCGCTATATGGTCTTTATCATCTCCCATACTCAAGTGAACTCCACCACTCAGATCATGCTTTCTCGAACCATTTAAGGTTCCCTTTTCACAATTTAACACTTTCTTGCACATGATATATATATATATATATATTACTCTTTACATTACAAAAACACAATATTAATGCTCATTTAAATCAAAAGCCATTTCACACACAACAATTACTCAATGCTATAAAACATGCTTAATTCAAAACCATTTCATGCATTACATAGCATACTAACATATAGTTACAATAAATGGTCAAATAAAATAAGTTATCCAGCTACCTCAACCCTTTTGTTACTAGAAAGGTTACCCGTGAATTTCAACTATCACTCAGGCTTTTCTCAAGCTTTCTTTCTCTATTCACGAGTCCAATATGCTAATCTGAACACATTTGGCACATTTTAATCAATTGGTTCATGTTGACCAAAAACTCATTTTTTACCACTTAGGGCTATATTCATCCGTAAACTCTTTCCCATTGATCTATTCTAAGTCCATAATTACCCAATTACTACTTTACATCACCTTTAACTGGTCTTATTCTACTCAAGACATATTTTTGCCCTAACTTTCTCTCTCTAAAGGCCAAAATTGAGCCTACGGGTTCAAAGCTCTACCGTTCAGCTCTAAACTAGTAACAAAGCTTTAATTTAACTTCCCAGAACCTTTTTATTACTATTGGGCAAGAATCAAACCCCTTAAATTCCATCGATTCAATTTCCCTATAACTCATTTTTAGAGAAATTTGTGTAGAATGAAAGGTAAGAGTTATATGTAGCTTACCTGGCAAGTTACCGATCTGAATCACCTTCCACCGCTCCAAAATGACTTAACCTAGCTCCTTAGCCCTTCTTCTCTCTTTGCCTCATGTGTTTCTCAATTTCTCTTTTCTAAAATTTTTTAAAATTCATGACTTATAAAGTGAATTTCTGGTCCATGCGCTGCGGCGCATGCAGTACAAGCCACGGTGCATGGCATAGTGAGATTTATTCTCACCACGCGCACTTGCTTTGACCTGAAACACACTCCTATCACCCATATCTATTCATATAACATAAATAAGTCAAAATGCCAATTAACCATCCAAATCTATAATCCCAATTTAATTTCTACTTTATCCTCGATTAACCTCTAAACTTAGGATTAAAAAATTCAGGATGTTACAATTCTTCCCTCCTTTTAAGAATTTTGCCCTCAAAATTCATAAAAGGCATAAATATATACCTATGGAAATAGGTGATGGCATTATTATTTCATTCTATCCTTTGTCTCCCAAGTAGCATCATCATGAGCCATGCCTCGCCAGAAAACTTTAATTAATCGTATAGTCTTATTCCTTAACTGCTTCTCGCTCTGGCTCAGGCTTATAGGTTAAATTCTCTTGGAGTTCAATCTCCTCTAGTTCTATCACATGTGAAGGATCATATTGATATTTCTTGAGTTGTGACATATGAAACACCTCATGCACACCCGATAACTGTGGTGGCAAAGCAATGCTGTAGGCAACTGGTCTAATTCTCTTCAAAATCTCGCAAGGACTAATGAATCTAGGAGTCAATTTCTTGGCTCTTATTAATCTCCCAATTCCCATCACTGGTGTAACCCTTAGAAATACATGATCTCCCACTAGGAACTCTAATGGCCTTCTATGCCTATCTGCATAACTCTTTTGCCTACTCTGTGTCATCAATAGCTTTTTCCTGACCAACTCAATCTTTTGAGTTGTCTGATCTATAATATCTGATCCTAACATACTCCTTTCACTTAACTTTATCTAGCAAAGAGGTGACCTGTATTTTCTCCCACATATTGCCTCATATGATGCCATTTGTATACTGGAGTGGTAACTGTTATTGTAAGCAAATTCAGCCAAAGGGAGATGGCTATCCTAGCTATCTTTCAACTCCAATACACAATCTCTCAACATATCCTCTAAAGTCTGTATGGTTTGTTCTGTCTGCCTATCTGTTTGTGGATGACATGCTATACTAAATCTCAACTCTGTACCCATGGCATGCTGTAAAGCTCCCCAAAACTTAAAAGTAAATCTTGAATCTCTATTAGAAATTATACTCTTCGGCACACCATGTAATCTTACCACTTTTCGGATATAGATCTCTGCCAACTTTTCTAGAGAATCACTAATTCGAATAGCTAAGAAATGAGCTGATTTAGTAAGTCTATCAACTATAGTCCAAATGGCATCATGTCTAAATTAAGTTCTTGGTAACCCAGTTATAAAATCCATAGAAATGCTCTCCCATTTCCACATAGGAATATCCAACAATTATAACATTCCTGTTAGTCTTTGGTGCTCTATATTAACCTTTTGACAGGTCAAACATTGAGTCATGAACTCTGTTATGTCTTTTTTCATACCAGGCCACCACTAATACCACTTCACATCCTGATATATCTTTAAAATTCCATTTGCAGACACCACGTGTCCTAAAAATCTCACTTCTCTTAATCAAAACTCACACTTATTGAGCTTGGCATACAACTTTTTGTATTTCAAAATCTGTAGCACTATTCTCAAATTCCTTGCATGTTGCTCCTCATTCTCAGAATAGATTAGGATGTCATCTATAAAGACCACTACAAAC